AAGCAACTTTATTATTTAATATATATTAATTACGTCATCAATATAAACTATAAGGTTTATTGTAGGTTTTGGTTAAGTCTTCGGATCCTAAGGTCTTTAGGTTTCTAGGTCTTTGGGTTTCTAGGTCTTTATGTTTCTAGGTCTTGAGGTTTCTAGGTCTCTGGGTTTCTATGTCTTTAGGTTTCTAGGTATTTGGGTTTCTAGGTCTTTATGTTTCTAGGTCTTGAGGTTTCTAGGTCTCTGGGTTTCTATGTCTTTGGGTTTCTAGGTCTCTGGGTTTCTAGGTCTCTGGGTTTCTAGGTCTCTGGGTTTCTAGGTCCCTGGGTCTCTGGGTTTCTAGGTCTCTGAGTTTCTAGGTCTCTGGGTTTCTAGGTCTCTGGGTTTCTAGGTATCTGGGTATCCGGGTTTCTAGGTCTCTGGGTTTCTGGGTTTCTAGGTCTCTGGGTTTCTAGGTCTCTGGGTCTCTAGATCTCTGTATTTATAGATTTCTGAGTTTCTGGGTGTGTGGGTAGATGGGCCTATGGGTCTCTAGAACACTGCATTAGACTCTAATAGATTTTACCCTGAAAGTCAAAGAACGATTCCGTTAATAGAAAGAATTGCAACACGAGAAGTTGTTTCAATTGAAACTATTATAAACGAAGGTAAAGATTGCTCGATCCCGTGGAAAGATCGATATTGCACCGCAGAAGATAAATGAATGGTTGACAACGTTCGCACTCGCAAAAGGAACATGCAAAGAGTTCATCCTTGCCAGTTCATTTCCAGCAGTCAGTGCATTGATGGGAAACTCCGTTGTTGAGATCTTTGACGGATTCGAAGAACGCGCCAACTTGTACATGCTAGCACTTGGTGGTCCATCGACCGGTAAGACCCAAAGCCACAAAAATTGTGTAACTGAACCTATTTTACATAATTTGGAGACGAAAACTGGAGCAGAACTTGTTATCGAAGACGCTACGTCTAAAGGACTTTTCAATTTTTACATCCGAAGCAAAAATCGAGTTGCACTCTGCGCCATTGATGAGTGTCACGAGTGGTTCAAGACGGTGGTTGGTTACAAGAGTGCGTCGTCAGCCCCATCAATGAAACGCCTACTCCAATGTTACGATGGATCACACTGGTACGAGAGTAAAGGAAACACGAACAAAAGAATGGGTGTTCCTTCGGCTGCTTTGGCACTATCGTGCTTTACTCAACCAAACGCCTTTTTGCGTCTTGTGATGCCAAAACTAGTGAGCAACAGTAATGGGCTGTTAGATAGATTTCTAGTGTGCCTTTCATCCGCTAAAAGTGCTCCAATAAGCAATCATCGAATCAAGAAGCTTTCTCGAAGTCGGCACCTCTTTATCAAGCCGCGCTCCACCGTAGTCATTATCCAACAAATTTACGCTACTCCCCTAATAATAAACAGAAGAATAGAACGAGAACGAGAAATATAATTTGGTTTAATCCACCTTTTAGTAAGAATGTTAG